ATAAAACTAGGAGACCATTCATTTTTAGTGCCTTTGCACACCTCGGAGTTGTGTTTGGGAAGGGTGAAGTGGTGAGATAGAAGAATAAAAAATAGGAAGTTCAAATTTATTTCTGAGAAGCTGTATGGGAGGACTGATAAAAGTGACTGGGCGGTACTCTTCCACAGTCTCCTAGCTTCACTGCTTTTGAGTATGTGCTATTGAGCTTTTCTTTCCTCTGCATAATAGCCTGCAGTCTAAGGCTAGATTAATTGATAGCTGGACCTTTCTGAATTCTCCTCTTGCCTCAGATTCTAATTTTTGCAGACGTTTAGGTCTCTGCAGTACAGGCATACCTTATTTTATTGTGCTTTGCTTTATTGTGCTTCAAAGATATTGTGGTTTTTACAAATTGAAGGCTTGTGTTAACTGCATTTTCAGATGATCGTTAGCATTTTTTAGTGATATTTATAGTATTTTTAAATTAAGTATGTGTATGGTTGTTTTTTTAGTGATAATGCTATTGCACACTTAATAGACTACAGTATAGCAGAGACATAATTTTTCTATGCACTGGGAAACCAAACAGTTGATCTGACTCACTTTATTGCAATACTCAGTTTATTACAGTGTTCTGGAACTGAACTCATAATATCTCTGAGGTATGCCTGTATAGTTTTTATACCTCATATATAAAGTCTTGTAACACATTATAGAGAACAAAATTAAAAATACCTATTTGGGAATAGCTGGAATAGGTTTAGTTCTTTTGAGCCCTTTATAAAGGATTTGATTATTTTATGATTCTGAACATTGCAATTGATAACATTCCCTTTATTATTACTTAAATACACTAAACCCCATAAAGATTTTAGTTTATTGTAAATTGCAGAGTTAATCAGAGCATGTTGTATGCCTTCTTTAAGGCATTCTGTGTAAAGGTACATAGGAATTTTGGTCTGTTACGCACCTTCTGCGACCTTCACACAGCTTTTAATTTACCTCTTTATTGCCTGAATTTTGGAAACATTTCCTTCTTTCTGCCTTATTAAGTAGCAGCCTTAATAATACCCAGGTCCAAACTTGTTGGTTTGCTCCCACACTTGGGGCAAAGAGCGCTTGTTATCTGACTGACATATGGGCCCAGAGCACTTTTAAGCCAGAAAGGCAGCATTCAGGACACAGGGATTCTCTGCCTAAGAACTCAAAAGCTCTAGCAAGCTTCATATAATTAATTAAGGTTATATTTTACCACTTAGTCATTATTTCTTATGTTGTAAAAAGAGATACTGCTAAACCTAAATTATTTTATTCCACATATAATAGAGAAATGTGTGATTCTGGTATATCAGTAGATTGGAAAAAAAGAACCTTTTTACACACACAGACACACACACACACACACACACACACATTTTTGACCCTGTAATTTTCATTTTGGGGAAGTCTGTGTTAAGGAAACCTTTAAATGTAGCGAAAAATCTTACGTAAAATAGTGTTTATCACTTTAGTTACAGGTATCTGTAAATGGAGATAACCGCCAATAAAAATATAATGCATCTATTTAAAAGGATGTTTCTATAATTCATGGAAAAGACCTTATGTAATATATTTAAAGGATATAAAATATATAAATTATATGCATTGTGTTTGCAGCTATGTAAGAAATACATTTTAAAAAGTCTAAAAGGGGAAAAAAAAAGTCTAAAAGGAAATAACACAAATTTCAATTAGTTGCCTTAGGTGACTCTAAGTGATTTTTTTCCTTCCTAGTTTCATTTTCTCATATAATGTGCTTACATTACTTTTTTAATAGCCAGAAAAACTTAAGAAAAAATATACAATAAGACATTATAATTTATTCCAAGATATTTTATATGAGTCATTTGGAAAGAATTGTGGAAGAATTGCTTTTTGCTTGAGTTTAGACATGAATTAGGGAGCAGCTTTTTGAAACTATTACTCTGCTTCTGCTTGAGACCTGAAATGACAAGCATGGCTCAGTTCTTCACACTTATGGGGTACAATTAAGATCACACTCTGGTCTATTCAGGTGTCGTTAGGCAGGCAATGCAAATGTGCCTTCCATTATAAATGTGTTTTCCTTATAAATAGAGCCTGGTTAATGTAGCTTTTAAATGCATATGGTAAAAGTGTAAAATAATTCTCTAAGTAGCTTTCTGTCTAAAAAGTAGTTTTCCATGTCTAAAAGTATCTTAAACAACTACAGTAACATCAGTGGAGTCATTGAAATATACTTTATGAGTTAATGGTTGCCTTGAGATTTAAACTAGCTATATATTGAGCATGTATCCATATTGTTTCTCATCTATAAATATGAAGCACTGTTTTGCCTATTGAAGGCTATACTATAGCTTAGGGAAAAGTAATAATTACTGTCTGGAAATGCAAAAGAAAGCTAAGCAATAAAGTCAGGCAGAATATATTATTTCATGAATGGTACTACTTCTCAAAATACAACAAAAGGAGAGGCTTCCCCAGTGGTTGGTTCAGTGGTTAAGACTCCCTTGCTTCTACTGCAGGGGTTGTGGGTTTGATCCCTGGATGGAGAACTAAGATCCTGCATGCCACACAGTGTAGAAAAAAAAAAAGCCACACAACTACAGCAATAGCAAAGGGAGCTAAGCTGTGTTAACAGATTCCACACTTGAAGCATATTTATGAGAAATTATTTTCACTGATTTTAATGTCACTATAGCTAACATTCTAACCCTGTTTTACACTTACTTTATAATTAAGTGTAAAAAAAAAAAGTAAGTGTAAAAATATTTTCTGTTAGTGAAGACACATGAAAATCAGAGAGGCCGAAGCCGAAGCAGAACTCTGATGCACTTTGAGCCCGCGTCCTCACTTTCAGTCCTCTGTGTCTCTGCTGACTTGGAGTTGTAAACTTTGAAACTCTCGTCATAGGACCATGACAGTCAGAGTTTGGGATGTTTTACTCTTTGTCTTTGTTTTTTTTTTTTTTTACAGATATATGTTTGTAGTTTTTAGTAATCAGAAATTAGAAGCATCTCTCAACTTCATGACTAATAGTTGTTAGCCTCATTTTGAGTAAGTACTTCTAGTCACCGAATATTGTCAAGTACTATTTGTAGTACTGGTTTCAAGGGCTTCTCTTAGTCTTTCAAATATACCAAGACCAGCCTCTGGGGGATACATAGAGAAGGTATATAACAGCCTTAGGTTTCCCTGCATAGTATGTGAATGTTTTAAAAGAGTATATATAGATAGTTTTTTTTTTTTAAGTTTGGCAATATTCTAGAGGATAAATTCATTTTAAATATAGAAACCATCAGATGCGTCATATAATAGGGTGTCAACTCAGTTTATGTGTGGGATGTTTAATCAAGAGATATTATTTCAGTCCCCTTCTTTTGTGAGCTATGCTGTGAACTGCAAACTGTGTGCATGTGTATAAAAGGTTAAGAGCCCGGGTAGCTGAGTGGGGTGCCATGCTGTTAGCAGACGACGAAGGCAGTATTACTCACCAGGTGCACGCCGTCAGCTCTGTAGAAGATTCCATCTTCATGGAGTCATCTCACGGTCCACTTTTTCTTGAAGCCAGGTAACATTTCCCACAACCAGTGGGGTTGGCTATGTTGGAGTTTTTCCTATTGGAAAAACTAGAAAAAACTAAAAAACCTAAGTATTTTCTTCCTAACTCTTTTTTTTTTTCTTGTTAATGAAACACTGCCTGTTGGAAGAACTAACTTGCAAGGTGGCATGAATCTGTGTTATCACTTTGCTTTGTAAAATGATAATTATGTAAGGAGTGACTTTTTTAAAAATAGAAACTGGGGAGGAGAAGGAATTGGAGTACTTTGTGTTGTTTCCCTGTGGTGATAAGGCATGGAGCACTCTGCTTGTATTATAAGCAGCCTTGCTTCTTAGGGATGTACAGATTGCATTGTGTGATAACTAATCTGATTGTTTACCCTTGACTATTACTGAGGCAAAGTAGTTTTGTACAATTTATATATTCTTGGCTCTTAACTCTTTTGCTTGTGTCAGTGTCTTGGTCTTTTAATGATGTCTGACTCTTGCTTCAAATCTCTTTGTTTATTAGTTCAGTTGTAAAATAACCTAGACAGTTTCTCTAAACTCTTAATCCTGTAAGCTTTCTACATCACTTCAATTGTGTTCACTTAACTAAACCTTCTGTGACAGTTGAATAAAATGTTCCAACTTTTTCTTTAAAGCTTAATCTTCCTTATGGTAAGCTGTCATACTTGAGACCCTTGAGGGTGCTTAGCAGTGTTATTAACTGAGCATGCTCACAAACTCAGTTTGTGGTACAGGCTGTCCCTGTTCTTGTCATGCATAATAGGGCTTCTTTTGTGTCATTTACCTTTCAGTCCATCATGTTACATTATGTCCTTTGATTGGTACCATTGTCACTGCCTGTCTGACTAATACCAGAGTTTGGTTTGTTTGCTTTTTCTTCTTTCTGTAATCAGCAGTAACCAAATTAATGCAAATTGGTAAAGCTTCCCCCTCCCCTTTTGGGATTTTTTTTCGTAAATTTTTATGGGACTCAGTGTTTCTAAAGTTGATTTTAAGCATTTTAAGCACTGATTTTAGAAAAGTATTGTCACTTGTCACTTAACTGCTTACAAGATATGTTTTGGTTCCTGGGGACAGGAGATTCCATGAAATTGACTCAAAATTGTGTGGTTGCAGTCTTACCTCTCATTTTGAAGGACCATGCTGGTATTAAAAAGTGGCAGGTTGACTTGTCTAAGTTCTCCATTTCCCTTGTGAAGAAAACTTGTAACATTTTAGATGTTGTTTACTCCCAAATGTCTACAGTATGTCTCAAGACAGTGACTATCTAAGCAGTGTACATATGGCCTTATTGACAAATGCTTTTGGTGACCATTACTGTATGCAATTAGTCTGACAAGTGTGCTAATACTTCCCTAAAAATAGACTGTCCACATAAGTGTTTTTTTCATACTAATCATGTTTTAAACATTAATTATATTTTTTGACTACAGGCACGTGACACAAGCTGACCTCAAGAGCTCCACGTTTTGGCTTCGAGCAAGTTTTGGTGCTACTGTTTTTGCAGTTTTGGGCTTTGCCATGTACAAAGCATTACTGAAACAGCGATGATTTAAAAAAAAAAAAAAGATACTGGCCCTACCAAAAATAAATACTTTTATGTACATTCTGAATGCTTTAAATTCCACTAGAAATATTGAGATATTTATACATTGCAGAGTTACTTTATTAATATTTGTAATTCATGCATAAGAGTATTTTAATGATAGTTATAACTGCAGTATTGGCTAGCATATGGAAAGAAACAGCTTAACAGCCAAACTAAAATGGCTAACTTTCAGAGGCCAAAAGGGAATATTTTGTAAATAATGTACATATTCAGGCAAGATACGGTCTCCCAGACTGAGTTCTAGAAACGACGTTTCTGGACGTTTTGACATGATGTTGTTAGTGCTCAGCTGGCTCACTCTCCTAGATTTAAGTCAGCTCTGAGATTGTGTTTTACTCATCGATCACTTATTTATTTCACATTTACTCAGAATGATCTTTGGGTACTTTGAGTACACAAGGCACAATTTGCCATTTTCTCTCCGTTTTTAAAAAACATGACTTTCTTTCAGTCCCGTCCCTTATGGTAGGCCAGCCTTGAAGTCATCGTGCAGTCTAAAAATTGTGTAGTTGAACGTGAGGCTCTCCTCTGAGGAAGGAGAAAGCTAAAGGCACTTAGCAGAGGCGTCACTCGTGTGATTATGTTGCTTCCTTTGTCAGTATGTTGAATTTTATAGCCCTTTCAATCAAGAGAAAACAGATTTGTATATTATCAATGTTTTTAGTTTAAATAAACGGTCACCATTACTACTACTGAATTTCCTCCCAAAGTGTAAATTGTTCTATAATGGCTGTGTCTATTATAGTATATTACAGTAGCTGCATGTGTCATGAATTGTTCTATACCTGGCTAGGATAGCCTAGAAGCAGCACTTTTTTAAATGGTAAAATAAATCTGATGAATATAAACTCTCATGATAAACCTATTTTTTCCATCATTGACCTTTTCAAGTATTTAAATAAATAACTGCTGTGTACTGTGCCCTTGAGTTTTTTGTCTCATGAAAGTAAATGTTTCTGGGAATTTCCCCAGTGGTCCAGTGGTTCGGACTCGGCCTTTTCACTGCTGTTGCCTGGGGTTCAGTTCCTGGTCAGGGAAATAAGATCTTGCGAGCCACACAGTGTGGCCAAAAAAAGAGGGGGGAGAAAGTAATTATTTCTCTACAGGTGAAATGAAATTCCTCTGGTCTCTGTCTTTCTTATCTTGCAAATTATTTTTTATACAGAAAGATAATACTTATTAGGAAAGAAGACAAGTATGATTTGTATGTATAGGAGGAAATCTATTTTAAAGTTGTGGGGAAATTTGTTCTTAGGAAAGGGCAGTTGTTTTTCCCTACACATACCTAACAGATACAGTTTTACTACTATGATTTACATGTTTATTTTCTCCTTTAACATGGATCCCCCCCCCCTTTGCCATTCTGAGGAGTGTTTTCTCCGAAGATCACATTCCTTGAGCAGCTAGTAACAATATAATTTACTAGCTATAAGCTTGTAAAATATTACGTGCAATGCTCACCTGCTCACTTCCCCATCTCCCTCCCTCACATTTTCATTCTGAATCTGAGGAAAAGGAGAATTGAGCGAAGAAAAGTCTGGTGACTCCTCATTTTCATTATTTCCTGAGAATTCCTCATTTACCAAATAAATTTAAGTTACACAGCTTCCAGTTTGGTTAATTCTTTCCTTCCAAGTTCTTCCTTGTTCCGACTGAAATGTTATTGTACATGAATATGCTTTGTAGATTGTTGTGTTTATGAGAAACAGAGGGAAGAAGGTAGTTTGCCAAAAAGGTAAAAAGTAGTGTGTTTACATGTTGAGATTTTTCTCTCTCAGTCTTTTCATTTGAAGTGTCTGATTGTCAAGAAGGCAGACTGGCAGCTGCCCTGTTTCTTTACCTGCTCTCAAGAGCAGCCTTCCTCTCCTCTCAGTCCAGGTGGGGGTGGGTTTGCAGAGGAATCATTGCCTTCTCCTCTTTAACCTCCAGGCGCATGTGGATCTTTTTCCTTCTTTCATATCCGTGTTAGGGACTAGTTAATATAGGAAAATGTGTGAATGAATACAGCAAAAGGCTGCTTCTGGCTTTTACAGTATACTCAGATGATCGCTATGGGAATTTGAGGGTTGAAGCCTTTCACTTTGTGCCAGTGGCCTTCCCTTTTAAAAGGACGGTTCTGAAACTGTTCGCTACAGCGTTTTAATGAATTTTTGAGGCGGTCCTGTGAAGGAGCATCACTTTGAAGGTTTGTAGTCCTTTGTCGTGATGTTGTAACTTAGCCTTAATGAGCACATCCTGTGCTGTTGCTTCTTGCCATCCATCTGTTCTTTCTCTTTCACATTTGACCAAAAAAATGGGCCATGTCCCACATCGGCAGAGCTCCCAGTGCTGTGGTTGGAGTGGGCCCTGATGTTAGGAGTTTGGGGAGCATGTCACCATTCTGAAGTAGTCTGTGAAAGAAGAGAAGGAAGGCTGTAGGTACCTGTGCAGATCGGCCCATCACCTGTCAGGGGAAGGCACCGCAAAGGAGGCGTCCTGCTGAGCCTGTCCTGAATGAAAGGAGAGGAGGCAACTGGATAGTGACTAGCAGAGGGGAAACAGAGGTAAGTGCTCAAATGATACAGGGTGGAAACCTTTCCTAAACAGACCCTCAGAATGCAACTGGTGTTAGCTTTGATGCCTCTTCTGTCTGAACGGTACTAGTAAATGTCCATGTAAAAGTGTCTTTATTTTCTTTTCTTTTGCATGCCTGCATGCTAAGTCGCTTCAGTCATGTTCGACTCTTTGCAACCCTGTGGACTGTAGCTCACCAGGCTCTTCTGTCCATGGGGTTCTCCAGGCAAGAACACTTGAGTGGGTTGCCATGCCCTTCTCAAGGGTATCTTCCCGACCTAAGGATCAAACGTGTGTCTCTTTCGTCTCCTGCATTGGCAGATGGGCTCTTTACCACTAGCGCTACTTGTGAAGCTCTTATTTTGTTTTATTGGAGTATAATTGCTTTACAGTTTGTTTTTGTTTCTGCTGTAAAACGGAGTGAATCAGCTATGTCTGTACATATATCCCCTTCCTCTCGGACCTCCCTCCCATCCCTAACCCCCATCCCACCTATCCAGGTCACCACAGGGCACCAAAATGAGCTTCCTGTGAAAAGTGTCTTTAAAATATATGTGCACATCTTAAAAATGGGTACGTGACCTAACTTTCATTAGCACATTTATCTATTTGGCATCATCCTCACATTTTTGAGTCCATGGGTTCTTAGGAAGCTGACTCTGGACTACATGCTTTTTAAGAAACACCCTTTGGCAAGACTCTAAATTTATTTAATGTTTCTATTAATAATATGAGACTGCACCATGCTGGTAGCCTGAACCAAAAACCTTGATCCCCAGTTTCACAGTCCCAATAACCCATTTGTTAAAACCTCTAATCTTGCAAATAATTCTTGTTTTTTAAAACGTATTTGTCAAAAGGCTCCATCAGTGGGAGCGAATGCCTGTTGACCTGTTTCGCTCTCAGCTCTCTGGAAGTTCTCTGACCTGTGAGTATCACAGCTAATGTGTTTCAGATCTCTCTAGTGCATCCCACATTCAAAAACTGTCCAGTTGCCTCCCATGGCATGCTCACACTTGTCACACCCTTTTGTCCCAGTTATTTTTGTTTCAGAAGGTACGGACACCTTACTGGAAGTGAGATTTTGGTTCATTTGGAAACATTTCCTAAGTTCATGGTGCCATTCTGGTTCCCAGCTGTATTTTCCAATGATAGTGTTGTGCTCTGTAGATTTTCTCTTCTCCTTTAACATAGAGAGCTGCAGAAAGTCAGACAGTGAAACTGAGAGATTGAAAGCTGCCCCTTGGGTGCACACACACAAGGAGGCATTGCTAGTATTACCTCCTTACGTTGAAAAATCCAAGTTCCATGAAAACACTTCCTCGTTCAGTATTTCCTACTCATTCTTCACATATAGGTCTTTTATAATCAAATAACTCTTGGAAGTGTTCGTTATTTGAATGATATTGGTATATAGGATGTGGTGTAACTTAGGGGTCACAAACTTTTTCTGTAAAACGTCATAAGAGAATAAATATTTGAGACTTTTGTGGCTGCTCAACTATGTCATAGCAAAAAAGCACCCTTAGAAAATTGCGTAAACAAGCACGGCTGTGTTCCAATAAAACTTTCTTTATAGGCCCTGAAATTTGAATTTTTTATAATTTTCATCTGTCAGAAAGTATTCTTATTTTGATTATTGTAATCACTTGAAGATGTAGAAACTATTCTTATCTCACAGGCTGTATAAAAACAGGCTGTGGGCCAGGCTTGACCAACTCCTTGGTGTAATTGATGAAGATACTAGTAGTAAACACATAGCAGGTTAAAAAAATTTACCTGATTGCTTTGGAATTCAGAAAGGCGCAGTACTGGGAAGAACTTAAAACGGTTTTAGTCATGTTTTAAGTGTTTGATTGGTTCCCTTCTTACTGAAGATACTGTTCACTGGGACATGGAGCCCTGGATGAGCCGGCAGCAGCCTCGGAGGGCAGCACTGTGCTCATAAAGGGAGTGTCGTCCTCCTCTAAGCACACCTGGAGCTGTTCCCTTGGTACTTGATCGGCGTGTGCTTTCCCTTTGTCCAGTTAGCTTATTGGCGTGTGTAGAAGGTGAAAGAGTCCCACAGGAATGTTTTGTTTGACCTCCAGTTATCTGGGACTATCCCTTGTATTCATGACAGTGTCATAATGCTTCTTCTTTAGGTTGTAAAGTCAGAATTTCAGAGCTTAAATAGACCACAAAGATCATCTGTCCAGCTCCATACTTTCATTGCATAAACTAAGCACAAAGCCACACTATTAGTGTATGCCTGAGCAGGGCTGGAACCCAGATGTCCTGACTTCCCAGTTCAGCCCTCTTTCCACTGGAGGAACCAGCCTTAACACTTGCCCTGACTTTATACGTTTAGGAAATATGCTGTATGTTCAGTTTAAAAAGACAAGGCAAC